ATAAAACTTGTAGAATTAAGATTTGGTGGATTAAGAATACAACGAATATCAATAAGATATTTTAAACAAAGTTCATCTTGTAATTGAATAGGATAATCATAATAATCAAGATTTTTAAGAATTATTAACCAAAAATTTTCTAGACCTTTTTTAGGTAGATTAGATTGACTATTTGGAAAATCTAAATAAGAACACAAAAAATAATTCGAATTTTTTAAAGAGTTTTTTTGTTTTTTGATATCTACCTAATATATTTTCAGTTGATATTTGTTCATATTTTTGTGAAATCGATTGATTTAAATTAGATTCTGATATTGGAGTCGATGTATTTGACTCATTAATTTGTTTTTCAAGTTCTGTTGGTTCACATGAACCATCAATAATTGTTCGTTGTTTTACTAAAATTCGTTCAAATTCAGGATTATATGCATATTGTAAATCTTGAAGTTGTCGATAAAATTCAATACGTAATCGAAAATATTCTACTTGATTATTAAGTAAAGCATTTATTCGACGTTGAATATCAGATCGACAATTTGACCAAAGACTTGATGATGATTGATGAATATTTTCTTTTGTTTCAGAATTTTCTATTTTTGCCATTGAAATAACAAAGAGTTTTTTTTGTTGTCTATTTAAATAATGAAATAATCAATTATATATTAGATTTAGCGCAATTTTTATAGAATTTATCATTGAATATAGATTATTCCATTGAATTCATATCATTAAATTTAAAAACGAAATTTGTTGATACTGTCTCTCTCTTTGTTTTGACGATTTTGGAAGAAATTTACCAGAATCATAATATTTTGAATTTTATTATTGTGACTAATCTTATTCTCATCGTATATAAAAATAGTTCTGGAGTATCAGAAACAAAATTTAATTTAAATCTCAAACTGAATGTATGCCATGAAAAAATAACAAATTGATATATTGATTGGTTAATATTCATGATATCAATCCAAGTTCTTTTTCATTCAGTTTTTATTAATAACTTTCTGTAAAATATTTGCATCTCATTTTAGTTTCTCATATATTGCTTTTAGAAATTTTATTTATATCATAAATTTCATTTGATAGCTAGATTCTTGTATTTGTTAGATTATAAAATCATCATTGGATTGACATTAAGAACGTTTATTTCTTTTTTTTTATATATTCATTTAACTTCTTCACAATACAATAAAGTTCACATGTTGTCAATTGACGAATAGAATAAGTAACTTCTTTTTAATTTCGAAGTGTTCTTCATATAATAGAGAAATAATCATTATAATCGTAATTAAGTATCAAATTTCAAAACTAAGGAAAAAAAAAAGAAATTATTTCACAATCATAATAAGAGATTATTTCTTTTTTTCTTTTTTAAAAGAAAATGAAAAAAGAAATCAGTAAATTGTGACACTCTATTGTAAAATAAAAACGTTTGATCAACTATCGGTATTATAAGATAAACACAATCACTAAAAGAATTAAAAAAAAAAAAGAAGGAAATAGCGTGCGAAAGCATGACATTGTTTCTCACAGCTTAATTTTAAATCTATCCCTTTTATCTTAATTCATTTCAAGTTAAGGGACTACTAGTCATTTGTCAGCTTGAACGATTGAAGAATTGTTAATGATGCAGTCAACTCGAGACGACATGTCAGGAAATTGAAATGGAGAGATACTCGATATGGATGAAGAAAAACGAAAGAGAGAAATCGGTCAATTGAACTTTTTGCTTATACAAAAAAGTCAAAAGAAGAAGAAAAAAAAATAACAACCTTCTGCTTTTCCACTAATGATGATACTGTTTATAGTATGAAAGCATACACGCTTGCTTACAATATTATCATAATAAAAAAAAAAAGACCGACTTATGATCATTGTTTTTGTATACATATAGAGATAAGGTGAACTGCTTCTTTCTATCTCTTGATAAGTATATTCATATTTACAATATCGCATGTGATAATCATTCAACCAGAGAAAAGATTTTCTCATGAGATCTTTAATTTTCTTTTTCTTTCTCAAATATACAATTTATTCAATTTTCATTTTTGTTATAATGGTGTTGGTCATTAGGGATCACAAATTTATTATTATTTCTTTTTTTTTTTGTTCGTGTCATAAAAAAAAAATCGATTTGTCATTCCAATACATCAACAGCTTGCTCACATTAAATAAGAGAAAGACAAAAAAAAAAAAAATTAAACTTGTTTACACCTAAACGATGAAGTGTGAGAAAATCAAATTTTCACTACGAGGAAACAATCAATTATTAATTGGTTGTATGATGACATACGTATATATAAAAAAAAAAGAAGCTTGTGTTTATATCGTGCATGTTAGACTTTAGAAAGTAGAAGAAAAAAAAATAGATACATAATACATTGTTATGGCTTCTGGTAAGAAATTAGCTTGAAGGCAAAAGTTTGCTTATCAAGTCATTCAATCATTAGTCGACGCGTCACTTCGTATTTAACTAGACAAAATAAGATATGAACGAGATGGACATGTCAACTAGAGCAAAAGAAAAAAAAACGGAAATATTTCTACTGGGATTATCATTATCACTATTGTGATAGTATATGTATTGTCCATATATATATATATATATACATATTTTTCGATTGTTAATAAACATTTTGCTTATCTAGTGTTCTCATTTATCTATGAATGTATATATACATCCGGATGACATGCAAACTTCCTACTGTGAGAAACTAATTTTTTTTTTCTTCAAGCAATATGTCTCAAAAAGTAATAACGAATAAGAACGTGACTGAACAGCATCGTTAATTGAAGTGACAGTTGACGTAAGTACATTGCAACTTGAAATTCATTATGTATTCTGCTCTTTTCTCTTGTTCATGTCGTTTAACCGAAGAAGACAATGACCGTACGCGACATATGATTATAAGTGAATTATCACAACTATTTTCTCATGAGGTTTCAATATGTGGTTTTTTTTCTTTTGCTTCGTCTTGTCCTTTTGTTTTTTTTATTGTTCACAAATACATGTGAGCTTCTCTATACGTATCATATGGTACACCTACTGATGACCTTTAGCAAAAAACTAATTCGATTGTGTAATAGTTACAGACAAAAGATCAGAGCACAGTTAGTGAAGCACGGTTTTCTAATGATCGATGATTGCACACAATCAGTATGTCACCTATCTTTCTTTTTTTTTTTTTTGGTATCATTATGATGATGTAGAACAAGTCGACGATATATGCATACATATATATATATATATATATGCGATCTGTTTATACAGACATACTCTTCACTTGACAGAAAGAGAGTGAGAAAAAGATAGACGCCAATCATACACATCTTTCTTTCTTCTTTTTTTTTTCTCTTTCTCTCGCGATTGAACATACGAACAAGAGAAAAATCAAATATCACTCAACAAGCTGCTTCACACAAGACACTTATATGAATGTTGCTACTCGTGAGTAGAATCTAATCAGTGACAAGAGTGAGATAATCTAACAAGAATTCTTTTTAAATAATTCATATGACATTCTTGACTCCTTGTATTACTATTTGTTTGATTTCTTTAGATGTATATTCTATTCTGTTTCATAACATTTATTCCAATATTTTATTGTCATATAAATGATTTTCAAACAATATGTCAAGCTGGTATTCGACAAGATAATACAAAGTAAAATATAAATACATATATAAAAAAAAAAAAAA